GGCAAGGAGCAATGACAAGCTGCTATTTTGTTCTATAGGGTCCTTGGATCACTGCAGAACTCTCCAGAGTTCTCTGAAGCCTTTTCCTGCACCACGAAAGACAACATGGATCCTCCTAATAAGTGCCGTGTTTGGTGACAGACTGCAAACCTCCCACCCCGAGGAGCTTGCCAGGAAAAGAGACACTGTCAGCTAATTTTGAGAAGGGGAGGAGGGAAGAAAACCGAGGGGAATATGCTAGAGTAGTCACTGTAATTGTTGGTAAACACGCAAACCCCAGATCATCACCCAGCAGAGCATCCCAGGAGGACTAAGGCAGCCCCAGGCTGCTGTAGCTGACTGGCTGCCTCTCCCCCACGGAACCCCACGGATCCAACTCACTGACCATGTACAGCAACATTCACTGCAGTTTAACCCTGCTCCCCACAGCCAGGGGCTTTGGGGATTCATTCTGAGATGTCAGAGGATAACAGGAGATCTCCCACCGGTCAGTGAGAGCACAGTTCTGACCAGGGAGGAGGGAAATGCTCAGAAACACACGGCTTTAGCCACCATAACATGACAGAGAAGCGACAGTTTATATCCCAGTGTCACACCTTGTCCCTCTGCCGTTATGGGAAATCTGCTCTACCAAATGTTTTCATCTTTACTTGAAACCATTTATGCAAGAGGAGTCCAAAGACCTGCTGTACTTAAATAACTTCTCACTAATTACTCCAGCGTGTATTACCTGATGGCACTATTTACAACAGTTTATTTACTGCTTTCTGGCCCAACTGAAATTGTAGGTAATTTAATTTTCAAACCTATAATCTGTAAGATTGTGATCAAAGACCCTTTCACAGTTTTCTAAGCTTTTTCTTGCTTTCTCTGAATTTGCTCTTTTTTAAAGTTTCTAGTAATGTATAAATCATAGTTTTTATATTTAAATCTGAGCTACACTTTTGACTTGAAGTATTGTAATATATTTTATCAGTGGCTGCATAGAACTGGGAAATTGGAGTAAAGCATGCTATTGGGCAATAAGACAAAGCCTACAGAACTGAGTTCTCCAGCGGAGTGCACTGATATTGGAGTTTTCAGGCAGATTTCTCAGTGCTTAGGGTCTGATCCTGTACATAACTTGTACATGTTCTGGTTGATGTCAATCCCCACACCAGGAAAGCTGCACAGCTGATTGCAAGAGTCAGGAGGAGCTTTAAGTAAGAAAGTAAAAGGCTTTAAATCTGCAATGATATGTATTAAACATCCTCATGCAGATTGCAAAGGAACTTAACTGCTTTGTGTATCAAAGCAAACACATTTCCAAACCGAGTATCAGATACCTCAGATGACTGCTACAATAGGTCTATTTAAAAACCTATGTCCTTTTAGCTTTCTGAGTTTGTCATCTGATCAAAACATTTTGATAATAAACTGAAATTATGAGCCAAATGCAGTGTGTGTTCTTTACAGGAAACAGCAATAAAACGAAATTCTCTGCAAATAAGTGTCTACACTGGCCCTCGAGCCCCACAGCTCAACAGACAGAGGGAGATTCCACTCCCAGGATCCAGCTCACGGCCACCCATCCTGCAATCAGTTCCGTGGCCACTCGGGCACACGCTGGGCTTGTTGGGGTGCCCCGAGCAGGGCCAGGAGCTGCACTGGATGGTCCCTGGGGGTCCCTTCCAGCTGGGATACTCCCTCACTCTGCGATCCTCTGACCTGAACAGGCCCCCAGGGACGTTCATGTTTTGTCAGTAAACAAAACCTACAACAAACAAACGCGAGCTCTCCACACAACTCCCGGGGCTGGCTCTGCACAGAACGAGCCTCTCAGGGAAAGGGCGAACCAGAGCTCTTCTGCCTCCACACAGGAACCAACATTGCCCACAGCTTTGTACAACACGGCGATCGTGAAAGGCAAACGTAGGGAATCCTGGGCCACCGGCCCTGCTGAGGGAACAGAGCCCGGAGCAGCTCTGAGGGGAGCCAGGAATGGGGCTGGAGACACACGGAGTGCCCGAGCCAGGCTGGGATCCATCCCAGGGGATCAGGGCAGGGATTGAGAACTAGGCTGGGATCCATCCCAGGGGATCAGGGCAGGGACTGCAGAACCAGGCTGGGATCCAGCCCATGGAATCAGGGCAGGGACCGCAGAGCCAGGCTGGTCCCTGCACACCTGAAGGAATTCCCTCACGTTACTGTGGGACCCGGGAGAGATCAGTTCCCTGCCCTGAGGGCTGATGTCCCATTACGGGGCAGGATTAAAGGATTCCAGACACACCCGCCAGTAACAAACACGACGCAGGGCTCGTACCTGAGGCGGCTCCGCGGCAGGTCCAGGCGAACAGGGCTCGGGTGAACCCATCCTCCGGGCAGCCCGAGCTGGAACACGGCCCGGGGGCGGCTCTGAGGGCTCCTGCCGGGCTCAGGGGCTGCGGGGCCTCGGGACAACGACCCCACCGCGACCCCGCCCTTCCAGAACATTCCCCGGCTGCCCTCAGTGCCCCACCCCTTCCAGAACATTCCCTGCCTGCCCTCAGCGCCCCACCCCTTCCAGAACATTCCCTGCCTGCCCTCAGCCCCCACCCCTTCCAGAACAATCTCTGGCCCTGCCCTTCCAGAACATTCCCTGCCCTCAGCCCCCCACCCCTTCTAGAACATTCTGTGGCCCTGCCCCTTCCAGAACATTCCCTGGCTGCCCTCAGTGCCCCACCCCTTCTAGAACATTCTGTGGCCCTGCCCCTTCCAGATCATTCTCACAGAGCTGTCAGGGGGAACAGGGAAATCCAGGCAGAGGTCGTGGGGCAAACCTGGCACCCAGCTCTGCAGCAGCATCAACTCCAACACTGCCGCTTGGCTTTTGGAGATAAAACAAGGAATAATAAATTAAAGACTAAAGATCATCTTAGATCACAGAAAACATCATCCTACCAGCAAGAAAGAAAATAGGTTTGGAAAAGGTGCCCACCCTAAAGGTGTACAGGGGTCTTTGCTCCTGGAGAACTGGACCTCAGGGATGGGATAGAGCTCATTAGGGACAGCTCGTTATTCCCCAAAGCCATCCCACTGTAACAATATTGTGAAGTCCTACAGCCCAACACGGTGACAAACACTGAAGCTGTGGCCTCACTTTAGTAGTGTAGCACCAGAGCAAGAAATCTGAATACACGTGGTTTTCTCCTCATCACTCACCAGCATCTGAGAGAAAAAACCCAGCACCCAAACACTCATTTTGTTTTTCAAGAATTAAAGCCCCCAAACCTTTTGCTGCTGCCCTGACAGCCCTGCACGTGTGGGGAGCTTCACTGACCAGCCACCCCAGTCCGAGGGTGGTTACAAAAGGTCACCTTGCAGAGCACTCTGTGGACTTCCAAGAGCGTGGGGGATGCATAATTTCTTGGAATAATCCTCTTTTTATTACTCTACAAAACTGGCAGGAACTTTCCCTTTGTACACAGCAAGTCAGCCTGACAATACTGAAGCCAGCCTAGAAAGTTATTTTGTTTTGCTCTGCCAAATCAGATCTTTCTGCTCTCAAAAATCAGGTAAAGCTAAACCAGATTGTAGTGTTTACATTTCAGCTCTGTAACACTTTAATTGGAAACATTTGATTTCCAGTGTTGTGAGACACCCAAAGAGCCACTGGGGCCAATGGGATCTTTCAGAACATTTCCCTGCAGGCCTGGTAAATGAACTGAGATGTGAAAACACAGACGTGGTTTCTATGGTGTCTCTGCTGGCCCTGTGTCAGTCAGAGCTGGGCTCAGTCTGGGTGGGCTCAGTCTTAGGAACGCAGGAATTGGTCCTGAAAAGGAGATATGAGGTGTCTGCTCACACAGCCCACCTGTACAGGGAGCTGGGAGGGATGTTCTCACCTGGCAGTGACTGACAGTGATGCTGGAGGTCCTCACCTGCTGCAGGGATTGGGAATCTCCAGCTCTTCAAGAGACTGCAGGGTTTACCCCCTCTTTCAGGACACCCGATGAAACAGGATCCCCCCTGTGCCCTCAGTTCATCCACAGGTGAAGCAGCTTGGTGTTGAGACAATTCCCAAAGGGAATGTCACACTTGAGTGCTGCTGCTGAGGCTGCTGGAGTGGCCAAGGAATGTTCAGGGCTGCACTACAGTCAAATATGTTTGTGTTTCCATTCCTAAAGGACAACAGACAGTGCCCACAGATGGAGACAGGATGTCTGACTGATGTGCCTTCCTCACATTCTCAAAATTATACAAATTGTGTAAGCAGGAGCCAAAAAAATAGTTTCTCTCTCTGTTTAACCCCATCAGGGGTCATGAAGGTTTTTTTCACATTAACTTAAACATATATCCTGCTGGGATCTCCCAGACATGCCTCTCACAGTCAGTTCTCTGCTTTAACTGGGGATTGAATTATTAATGATTTTTGTCTTCTGAGAGCTGCAACTCTTCAGTATAAAACCCTTCATGCTCAAAGCTCAGGGCTGTCTGTGAAAATGCAGCAGCTCAGATCATCTGACAATTATTTCTGATTTAAATGGTAAAGTGGCTGGAAGTTCTCAAGGCACATTATCCATCAGGGGAATATAATTATCTCCAACTGTAATTAAGAAAGACAAACCCACCAAGTACAAGACAGTCAGGGGGCCAGAGTGAGGCTGAGCCATGACAGGCTGTACAACAGCCCTCCCAACCCTAAAAAAGCCTGAGGTTTTCTGTTCGAAGGACATACATATTTGTTTCATAACAATAGATTCCAATAGATCTTCCCCATAATAAGGCTAAAAATACTTCCCCAGGCCCCATGAGAAATTAACCCTTGCCTGTTTCTAACAAGCTGGAAGCTCCTTAGCTATTTTAAAAGTTTGCTACTGAGCAGGCAGGCAGGTGTCCACCTATACAGGACTCCAAAACCACTCCACCCCATTACAAACCGTTTGGAAACTGGGAAATTGGGTTGGTGACTGTTGCTAGAGCTCTTATTAGCATTTGAAACGCTGTGGATAAGAAGCGTACACCATGTTTACAGTGTTGATATTAAAAATAACTCATTTTATACTTATTTTAGTCATTAGAAATCTCAATTGAACTTCCAGGTTCTTCTAATCAACATCACTGTAAATTCTTCTGTCCTGTAAGACAAAGCAAATTGCGTTGGAAAGGTGGCAGTGCCAAGCAAGGGAAGCAGAGGTGGTGTGTGGCACGTGCCAGTCACTTACTGCCATCAGGAGAAGACAATGTAAACCATGAGGGCACATCCCAGGATCCAGCCAACTGCCAGGAGCACAGGGACAACCAGGCGGGACAGCGGGGCTGGGGCTGCAAGGGAAGACAGGGACAAGCTGTGACAGAAAGGCAGGCAATTATCCCAACACATTGAACCAGGATTGTCCCAGTGAGCCTGGACCTGCAGGAAGGGGACACTGAATCCCCACGTTGCCAGTGGCTGCACTGAGGGGACACTGAATCCCATCTCCAAAGAATGGTGGCAGTGGCTGCACTGAGGGGACACTGAATCCCATCCCCAAAGGATGGTGGCAGTGGCTGCACTGAGGGGACACTGAATCCCATCTCCAAAGAATGGTGGCAGTGGCTGCACTGAGGGGACACTGAATCCCATCCCCAAAGCACGTGGCAGTGGCTGCACTGAGGGGACACTGAATCCCATCCCCAAAGCACGTGGCAGTGGCTGCACTGAGGGGACACTGAATCCCATCCCCAAAGGATGGTGGCAGTGGCTGCACTGAGGGGACACTGAATCCCATCCCCAAAGGATGGTGGCAGTGGCTGCACTGAGGGGACACTGAATCCCATCCCCAAAGCACGTGGCAGTGGCTGCACTGAGGGGACACTGAATCCCATCCCCAAAGGATGGTGGCAGTGGCTGCACTGAGGGGACACTGAATCCCATCCCCAAAGGACGGTGGCAGTGGCTGCACTGAGGGGACACTGAATCCCATCCCCAAAGCACGTGGCAGTGGCTGCACAGCAGGGATTCCCAGCTCGCCTCCCTGCCCACTGTATCCCTGTGCTGTCCTTCCCCACAGCCACACAGGGAGCTCAGGCTGAGGCAATCAACCTCTGCAAGGCTGTTTCCTCCTTTCCTGCAGGAAAATAACACAGGAGTGTCCAGTGTGGAAACTCTTGCAGCTGGGCCAGCACAAACACGGGATGAGTTGCCCGCTGGTCCTGGAACAAGGAGCCCAGTGCAGGCGATGGTTCTCCAGGGAGCACATGGAAAGCAGGACTGGCTGTGTACAAATACATTTCTGTACAACATCAGAATTTTAAAGACCCTTCTATCACTTTCCTACAAATAGCAGTCTCTTGCCAGAAAGCAGAATCCTATTACTTACCAGCATATTACAACCTCTTGGAGCACATCTCTCTGCAGTTAAGAGATTTCCAGGTTTTTGAAGGGATTAATAAATTATGTAAAACTATTCACAACACCTTGCACAGTTTAGATCAAGCAGGCAGACTTAGAGGGATCCTTAATAATTTAAGGATTGCCACATTGTTCTTTTAAAGCTGTGCACAACAAACCTCTCTCCATGACACTGCATGGTGTCTCTGACAGAGGGAGAGAGCACAGAGAGAAAATCTGCATATGCTGCCAGGAAAATATTAAACAGATAAACAACCACAATAGCAAAGATAAAATCCTGCTCTGAAACTGGGAGTCCTTTTGCCACAGGGGAGTCCCTTACCTGTTCAATTGACTGTTATTGCTTTGACACTGCAAGGTAAAGCTGCTTCTTTGGGAATCATTTCTCTTGCTTGCCGTTTTTTCAAGGTCTAATTACAGATCCAAGGCTGGATCCTGCTGGGAGCACAGAGGAGTTTGTCAGGGCTCTGCTCATGCTGCTGTGCCTACTGACTACAGGAGTGCCACTGGGACCCAGTTTAAACCAGAACTGGTGTAACGTCTGTGGATGCCCACAAAAACTGCAATAACAACACAGTGTTCACCATCCTGCTGAACCTCAGCAGAAATTCGCTCCCCTCCTCAGATACCGGAGTAAACAGTGCAGAACCCGGGAGACAAGTCTTTGGAAGCTGTATTAAAGATGTATTAAAAGATGCATTAAAGTTCCTTTAACCAGCGTTACCTGAGTACCTGTGCACAGCAAACACCACAGATACACTTACAGCTGTAAGTTTAAATGAAGTAAATTAAAAATGACAATAGATACAAAATACATTTTTATAAGCTGCCTTTTCTCCTTGGAGACAGTGAGTTGTGCTTACAGTGGAAAGCTCATTATTAAAATTTCATTTTGCTCTGTCACTCAAGCTTTGTGGGGTTAAAATCTGAATTATTCTACGTTCACCTAGAACTGCACTCAGAGCTCAGCTACACGCAGACATCAAAAATGCTGTCAAACATATCTCATTTTACACAGTTCTGTTCTATTGTGTTCACTAACCTGAAATTACAGCTACAAAACACTAAAGAAAAAACTGGTGGGATTCAGAAATACAGGAGGAAGACAAGCTACTTTTAACTGTTAACAGAATTAGCTTTTGAACTGGTAACTGTTACTGAAAAGTAAAATACATAGTGTTTCAACAAGAACACAAGTAGCTGAGTATTTTCACACTACATTGCTCAGATTTTTCATTTTAATACCTTGTTACATTCACATCTCCCGGTGCATCTTACCTGGTTCTGCCATTCCCCTCTGCTGGTTTAGTGGCAGGTTTGTCTCTGCAGTTGTTCTGGGAGCCTCGGGATGCTTTAAATAGAGTGGTGTTTGGAATGTGCTGCAGCTGCCTGGTCCCTGGTGCCAGGCTTGGGCCACACGCAGTCAATTGTCTAAAAAGGCAGCAATTCAGGGCATTTGGGCTCACCTCTGCCTGCTCCTCCAGCTGCACATCTGGCACAGGGCAAAGGGAATAAAGGGGGCTCAGTTTTTGAAGGGGGAGAGAAGCGAGGGTGACAGGTGCTTTGTGGACTCTTCACAGCCATGAAACACCCCGTGGTGGGTTCAGAGAATATTTATGACCATCCACATATTTAGAGCGTGACAGGGACCCGGTTTGTTCTTAATCCCCCACATCTCCAATCATCCCTCTCCTATCAAAACCCAAGCCAAGCCCTGCTCAGGATACTTCTGTAGTTATCAGTTCTTTCCTAAGCCCCACCAGGAATCTCATTCTGCACAAAGCACAGAGGCACATTTAGCTCTTGTCCCTGAACGAGTACAGGGTGCAACCACAGGTTTCCACCATTCCTGTGGGAAGTGAGCAACAAAACTTCAGGAAGGAATATTCCTAAAACAATCTGAGAATTAATTTATCCTAAACAGGATAAATAATTGCAAACTGTCCCTAATTCAAAGGAGAAAACCCGTGGATACAAGTGCCAGATGTGAGCCAGAAGCACAAACGGCACAGCAGGTCCCGTCACAGCAAAGGGGAGCTGCGTGGGAAGATCCCTCAGAGCGATCCTGGGTTTGACCAATTAGCAGGAACAAACACTCCAGGTGCTGTGGGGAAATGAACCCGTGTGCAGAACACTCAGAGGAACATCACACAAGCTCTGATCCAAAGGCTTTCCCTCAGGAATGGGAGGAGACCTTCTCTACCATTCCCCGAGTTTATGCAGAGTCCCATCTCAGAGCTGTGCCTGGAGATGAAATGAAACAGGGATTCTTCCCATGTTTCTGAACTGGAAAAGGACAGAACTGGCTGCTCCAAAGCCACTCCAGGTAACAGGTGCACAGGAAGATTTTGAGAGATCTAATCTGGATGTTCATATAGTTGAGAGGCATTTCTTGTGGGCTACAGAAGACAGGACAGTGCTCAGAAACACATTCAGCAGATCTAAAAGAGTTGATCGCTTTCTTATCTGCTTGTTGATTAAAAACTAAATACTTTACACTAAAAAAAAAAAATCAATCATCATCTTTATTCAGAATTGCTTCCCCTCATACAATGGCTGTGGGATCACATCTTCCTTGGAGCCTCTATAACTAGCCTGAAGAACAGCAATTAAGCCAAAGCCAGATTCTTCAGCAGCAGGTGGAAAAAATCCTGGTTTTTCATACCAACACAGTCTAACTTGTCCTAAAGCAAGTTTATAACTCAAGTATTTAATTTGAAAGGACTAGAGCTGGTTATAATGGAAATTCAATCCCAGTGCCTCCCAAGGAAGGGGCTCTTCCTGACACGGGAGCTGCTTTGCAGGGCTCCCTGGGCAGTCCCTGCCCACGCTGGGGCAGAGCAGGAGGGGCAGGAACCTGTCCAGGCTACACCTACAAAACAGGGAGGGGCAGCCTTCAAACATCCCCAGGGAATGCAATTCAATGGCTGGTTATTTTTACAGGAATAGTATTTTTGTCCAAGATACAGAATGGGAACTGTGGGCCCCAGGCTGCCATGATTTGTGTCCATCTGCAGAGTACTTTCATCTGCACTGTCCAAGAACAAAGAGTGGCAGTGGAATGATGAGAGTCTCAGGAACACCCTGACATCCACAGAGGGGGAGCAGCACTGAGCTCTGGCCACACTGTGCTGAGCAGTTGTTTCACATCAGAGACAAAGTCAGCCCTGTAGAGATGGTTTATTGCACACTATAAACAGTCCCTGGGCTTTGGAGCCTGGCGGGAATTCTAAGATGATGATTCCAGAACAAGAACTGAAGCCAAGTCATGTCACCTAAGGAAGTTTTCATCAATGGCACACAATCCCAGACTGCTTTGGGTTGGAAGGACTTTAAAGCCCATCCAGTCCCACCTCTGCCATGGGCAGGGACACCTCCCACTAGCCCAGAGTGCTCCAAGCCCCGTCCAACCTTGCCTTGATATACCTTGATGCCTCTGCTGCTGCTTTCTGCCACTTCTCTGCATTTTCGAGCAAGACAGTTCTCCTCCAAAACTGCTTGTCTTTTCCCACACACCATGTAGGGAAGGTGATTTCCTGACTGCTTACCCAAAATAAAACTCAGGGCTCTAAAGCACTTTGTTATGCCGTGCACAGTCCAGCCTATCACAACATGCTGAGACGCAAGAACAAACTGTGAGCTTTGCTGCCTTGGTCTGGCTTTGCTATAGAGCAAATCTTTCTGGATAAGATCCGATTTGTTGCAGAAAGAAATATGACTCTGTGCAACATATTTATTGGGAACACCATCTCTGATACAATGACTTCCTTGGCTGCACAGCTGTTCCCATAAGAATCCTATCTGGTTTGGTTCTGCTAATTATATATATCCATCTGATCTCATGGAAATAATTTCCACCAGGAACCCTGTATTCCTGACAAGGCCATCTGACCTTCAGGGGTTGGGATCTTTCCAGGCCCAGTTGCCACAA